TTTTCAGTGCAGGGGGAAGTAAACCTGTGCTCACTCACCAAACAAAACCTTCCTTCACTGTTGAGCCAGCCCAAACCCCATGCCCTAAAGGGACCCACATCATGAAAGTCCATTTTTCTCATCCTGAACCATTTCCAGCCAGCCTGAGGTGCTCAGCTTTGAAATCATTTCAATAGTAGTTTCTTTCTAGAATGCCAGCGCAGCTTCTTAAACCACCTTACTAGTAATTACCATGTTCGCTTGCAGCAGATCTGGGTCATGGGTGGTGCTGTTCCAGAAAACGAGACGCAGTGAGTTACATGATCAGCAAAAGGTCATGCAGAAGAGCTGTAGCAGAGCAGCACTTCCCCACACACTAAACCCAAGTCTTCTCCCAGTCAACATAACAAAATGCAACCACTTACTGCCTACAGATTTGCTTCTGGGCAGACTTTGGTACCCTTAGCATTGGCTGACACTCCTGCAAAGCACCAGTTTTCCACCTCTTTATGGTTCTGCGCAATCGTGGCTTAAACTAAGTAGAGGAGATCATTCAGCTATAAAGAGGGGAAAGACAGCTTCTTTGACTTCCATTTTTCAGTCATGTATACTTCAATTTCCCTTGAGGGAGTTATCTCAGCATTTAAAGCTTAACTTGGACATCACATAGCACCACGATGTATACATAGTTCCCATGCTGCCTTCATGTGAACACACCTTTCAGAGCTTCTTACAAAGCACAGCACAAGCTGGTGGTGTTTGCTACCATGAGACACCAGCAAAGCTCCTTTTAAATCACCGTTTTTCTGTGATATGATATGCATCTAACTTAGAGATGTTTGCTGTATGCATCTTAACAGGAGCAAGTTACTCCTGTGTATGTTGTAAACAGCAAAAGGCCATGTGTTGGCCTTAAATGGGATGCCAAGCAGCCTAGTGGTTTGGAACATGTCTGTGAGCTCTCTGAACAGGCAAACCATCTCTCTGGACTGGCAGAGATGTGGTGAGATCAAGAGCAGGGCGATGACCCCATGACCACATGTCCCCACAGCTTTACCTGGTTGTGGATGAAGGATGAAGGATGGTGATGCATTCCCAGTTCCTCTGCAGAGATCAGATTTACATGAATGCAAGGCAGAGATGCATGGAATAAGTCTGTGTTTCTCTACAGTCACAGATCTGGTGAGGACAGCTTGCTGTTCATCTGGCTCACCTGGAGAGCTCCATGTCTCTTGGTGCTTTGACAGACAGTACCTCTCATGACATGCAGAAGCCAGGGCTTCCTGGGGGCTTTTCAGCCCCCGGGCTTGTGACAGACACCTCCAGGCTCCTGAGGGCTCCCCACAGATTGACAGCTACAGCTTGAGCTATCTTCACTTCCCAGGGCTTTTCTTTCCCTCCCAAGGCACCTCTTGATCTGCCTGAGGGAAAAAAAATCATTTTATTTATGGGAGAAACACTTGAGTAGCTTCATTCATTTTCAGTCAATTAGCAATGGTTAAACCAATCATCAGAAAACCAGGCATGGATTTAAAGCCTACGTGGGTACATTTGCAAGAACCAATGCTCTATAAATACAGCTACAGCTTCCATACACATGGTGGTAGTAATGTAATTTGTGCACAGGATTTGGTAGAAAGCGGTTGTTTGTTACACTGGCTTGTACTGCAGAAAATGTTCGTGCGAAAGCTTTGTGCCTCTGAAGTAGCTGGAGAAAGATCATGAAGCCTTGGAAATGCTTCCAGGCTCCCCTGGACTGGCTGTCTAAACTCAGATCTCATCTGTCTGTTTTGCTGGAGATACCCCCTGACCGAATCCCACTTGCTTGTTCAATTCACACCTGACGGAGGTGATGCTCTGGCTACACATCACCTTTAGTGAAAGGATGTCTCACCTCGGATGTCCCCATGCCACTTGGTTCTGACATCTAATGATTGGGTGGACCAAGGCAGTCAATCTGTCCCCACCAGTGACAGCAAGAGTGGTCAATGCTACCTCTCACAGCGGACAAGCTGGTATCCTTCTCCTGTGACCAGCTCCAGAGGCACGGATTTGCTCCTTTCCTTATGTCCACCCCCTTATGACTTTCCAGAGAAAAACAGGGCAGGAGGCTTCTGCTCTGTATCTGCAACTGGCTTCCTCCTTGGCAGATGATGAGACATGGTCTGATTTTCTATTTATCTGAGCCCAGATGGGCTTTTTCACTTGCACAGTGCTGAACAGGAAAGTGTCTTTGCACATCTGTAGCCCATAAGTCACACAGTGAAAGGGTGAGGTGTGGGGCAGGGATCCGGACCTTGCCTGCATGGCCTCTTGTGAGGGCCAGGACACAAGGTGTGTCTTACCCCTGGCTATGGGGTTAGCACAGAGTGGGGACACCTCTGCTTTGGAGCTTGGAACTGCAGGAGCTCATGGGCGAGGATTATCCCTCTCCTGGACTCCTCCTATCTGCCCCATGGGAAATATTGGAGGGCTCTCCTGGCCCGTCACCAGGCACAAAAGCAGTGGGGAAAGGCTGGAAAACTAACTTCTCCTTTCTCCATCCCTGAGCAGATGCAGCTCACCCCATGTAATGTGAGTGGGATTGCTCCTGGGTTATATCAAGGCACAAACCCTGAACCCCTGGTCTTCCACAGACTCCCAGGGCTCTCACTGGGGCTTTTCTACAGCCCTTCTCACTCTTGAGAGCTTGTCACTTCCAGCTGGTGCTGCTGCAGAGTGTCAGGCGGCACTCAGCATCCCTGGCAGCACGCAGCCAGCTGGAGGAGAGCAACCTGTGGCTGACGGCTCCGGCTCCTCTGACTCCTTATGCAAGCTCTTGGCCGCAATACTTCGCTCCTTTTAAGAGCAGGGTGATGCTCTGAAGGACAGCTTAATTTATCTAAGGCAGGACTGGAGCAGGGAAGCCTGTGGTCTGGCCAGGCCTCAGCTGCCCTCAGGAACCTTAGGGAGATCCTGACAGTGCTGATAAATGCCAATAAAAGGAGGTCAAGCGCAAGCAGTTACTTGCAGATTTGTTTATCCCTCTGATTTCTAGAGGCGCACAGAGAGTTCACACGCAACCTGCACAGAGTGCTCTTTATAACAACAAATAAGAAGGCCCTTGCTGTTCAAAATCAGCTTCCCCCCGGGTCTATTTTAGCCCATTGCCTTAGCAGCAGCTCCTCTGAAGCCGGGGCTCTGCTGATGAGAGTTAGTCACTTCTGTCCCTCAGCAGGCGTCTCAGTAATTTTCCCCAGCCGGTTGCGTCAGTGAAGCCCTGCACCAACAGCGCTCCCTGATTATGCAAGCTACGTTCACAGATATTCTCAGGGTTGATCTTTTGAACCTTTATTCACCAGCTCCTCACAGAGAAAGCTGCAATAAAGGTTGTGCTGATAGAGCCCAGTAATATATTGACAGAAGGAAAACATAGCATTGGTAATAGGTTTTATTTGTGGAAAATCGAAAGAAGAAACAAAGAAGCCAATTGCAGCCTGCATAGGGACAGATGAAGCTGTAGCAATCTGTCTCTGGAAAGGAAAGACACACTTTCCTAGTTCATCCAGGCAAAAGCAAGGACAGGGATTTTATCTGGGGTTTGTTTATCAGCCAAATGCTTTTCAGTCATGAGTTCTGCAAGACTGAGCTACCTCTCTGATGCTAGTAAGATACCCTACAGCTTGCTCACAGATGGTGCAGGAACTCCAGAATTACAAGATAGAAGCCTTTGACTTACTCTTTTTTTACACAGTCCCTTTTTTTCTTATTTTTATGGCTATGTTCATTTTATCTTTGTGAAAGGGCACTGGAAGGGGCAAGACGTGAGCAGTTTTCTTCACCAGGAGCTTCTGGAAGTGTTTTTATTCACTTATCTCCAACATCTCCTCAGTTGTCCAAGCCTGTTCTTCATCCTGCAGAGCCACAGAACCATTTGTGTTGGAAAGGACTGTCAAAGATCATCTAGTCCAACCCCACTGCCATGGGCAGGAACATCTTTCGCAGAAGGTGGGGTACCCATGTGGTAGAATAACAGGGGATTGGGATAACGTCACTTGCCTAGGTCTCCAGTTGAAAAATTCTGGTTTTGACCTTCCTTCCTTGCTGACTGCCAAGTCATCCCTCCTGGTCCTTAGCATGGATCATCCTACAAGCAGACTCCTGCATGTGCTGGGACCTAAATCCCTCCCTGTCCCATTGCTGATGTATGAGATCCCTCCTGTCTTTAGCACTGAAGTGCAGGGGGTGTCGTGATGGCCTCTCCTCTTTCCTCCTTGCCCCAACCAGCCAAAGGGTGGGCATGAACAGCCCATGAAGGGAATGAATATATTAAAATCCTGTACAGTGGAGGTGTTTTGCCATGTAGCCCCAGCGCCAGCTCCAGTTCAAACTCCAGTTCAGCTCATACTGTGTGATTCTGATGACTGTTCAGTTCCGGATCAGGCACTAAATCTGACTGTAAAGAGAAATAATTGACTGACTGATTGGCTTTTCTTAGGGCGGTAAGTAACTATAGAAACTCCTTGCCTGTCACACTAAGGTGTAGCAGAGCTCTATTCAGCTGATTGGAGCCAGATTATGTCAGCCAATAAAGCAAAGTTTGCAATAGGTGCTCAGTCCAAAATACCGTGTGCTCGTGTTCCACTGTGGATAGCAGGATTGCTAAGGTAATGCTGGAAAAAGAAGATAAAATCACTTACCGTCTCCAGCTGTGAGCTCACAGCAGAGTAAATGTTAATAACCTTATGACTGAACTCGAGAGGTTCCTGTTAGCCACGGTGTTGGAGGGATGTGGAGCTGAGCCCAATAGTTACAGGTCCACGTTTTTCAAATTGTTTATAGGTCCCAAACCCCTGTGGTCCTGGGCTGAAAGAAGGTGGCAGTAGATTTGTGCTCCCCTGGGAAAATATTTCATCCCAAGGAAAAATCCAAGCACTTCTTTTTTGACATTTTAAAGGAAGCTGTTTGCTGTGGAAACATTTCAAAGCTTCCACAGCATCACTAAAGAGAATAAAGAGGAGAAAGCAAAAGACAGAAACAAAGCATTGCAAAGTATTTATTATAGATTTAATTAAATACTTTAAGTGACTCAAAGTCATCAGGGTTCCTCTTTTGCCAGACAAGAAAGCAGTCCTTTGCATCCATGCGCAATGACACTGCCTTTCCCTTCTTTGGCTCCGCCAGCAGAGTCCGGCAGTGACACAGCCTGGGACTGTTTGCCCTGGGGGGAGAACTTGTAAATAGCAGCACTCTGACAGTGTATGCAGAGGAATCTGGAAACTGCAAGATTTTGAATATGTTATCTCAACCAGTGCTCAGCACATGGGGAAACAAACAAACCAACCAACCTGTGCAGGGAAAGGGTAAGGTGTGCTGCAAAGCCTGAGAATTACTCGTGTGTGGTCAAACCGAGGTAAATGCTGGCTGCTGGTGAGAAGGGCAGATGCTGTCTTGTGCCCCTGGGAAGCCGTGCAGGTCAAATCCTTCTCATCCTCCTTCCCATGTGCACATGCCTGTGGTCCCATCCCTGTCCCCCCACCAGCCTGCAGCCTCCCTCCCAAACAGCAGGGCAGTAGGTAAAGCTGGAAGCTTAAACTCTTCATGCCAAGCCAGTGATTAGCCAGCAGCATGCTGATGTTTACAAGGGGGATCAGGACAGCTTACTCTGCAAGCCAACAAGAAGTCACCAAGCCTTGCAGGAGGTGTCAGGCCAGGGCTACCATGCCACAGGCTGGGCATCATGCTTAGCCTTCACTAGCTGGTTAGTTTTGCACCAGCTCCATCAAATGTCAATCTACCCCATAAGGGTCTCAGTGGGAGAGGAGGCTTCAGAAGTGCTTGGTCCCACCTGAGATCCTGGTAGCACCACATCAAGACCCAAACACAGGATTGTGAGACCAGGAGAGTGTGTCTGAATCTTGAGTCTGCATCTGAGATGCTCCCTTCGTGGACACAATGCCTGTCCCAGGAAGCAGCACCCCAAGGAAGGCTGGCCTTGACCAGGTCCCACACTGACCCCAAGCAGTTTTCCTCTTCTGCCACATGGGCTCTCGCAGCTATTCAGTGTTAACAGCATCAAGCACTAAATTGCTTTTGAGGTAGCATGTTCCCACACAGCACTGTGAAATAGTTAATATTAGCATGCTGCATGTGGGACAGGCAGCTTTTTTAACAAATCGAATGTGGTGAAACAGCCCTCTTTGGGCTCACCAAGCAAAAAGGTACAAAGCAATGAAAGAGACCTCAATGTCCTCTGAACAAGGAAGAAACTTCTTGAGCTAATAACTAACACATCTAGAAGCAGACCCAGTGTAATTAGGATTAATAGCTCCTGTGGCATGGGCCTTGTAACAGAGAATGTGTCAATCCATCTGGGGCTGAAGGCAACAGAAATAAAACCCTACAGTATAAGGAAAACCCACCCAGCCCCTGCATGGGCCTTCCTTATCTCTGGTACCTGACACCTACAATATGGCAGCACAGCTTGGCTGAAGACAAAATATGGACTTTTGGGGACTTTCTACATCATGCTGATGTTTCCCATGACAACTGCTTCAATCCTGCTCATCCCACAGTCAGCAATGTACCACAGCAGGAGCATATAGAATATATTAAATATAAGCACTGATGTAATTTTTCTCCAAATACAGGTTTGACACTACTTTGTTACTCCCATTTGGTCTCCTTTCTAATGAGGATTTTGCTCACACTTAGTAATGCAATTAGCACACATGCTCAGTGGTTAATAACCCTGCTTACACAGCCATGAGCAACTGCTGTCAAGTGGAGGAGGGAGGGGACACGCACTCACAGAGCCGCCACCTCTGTGACGCCAAGGTCCCCGCTGTTCAGTCTATTTCAGCTCACTAATGCCATTACCTCCCCTTCTGCATGGAGGGTTTCCAATGCAGACGCCACCTCCTTGGCCCTGGTGTGTGTCCTTTGCAGAGCAGGAGGAACAGGAGGGCTGGACCCTGCTCTCACACCATGACTGGGTTCAGGCAGCCCGTGGGGGACGTAGGGACGCTTCCCAGCAGTCCCACGTGTGGCACAGCTGCTCGTGTGCGATGTGGCAGACCTAGAGCTTCACACGTGGCCTCTCTGCAGCACTGCCAGCTGCCCTTCTAATGAGCGCTAATTCCATTTTCGGCTTTGCTCCGTGATCCCTTCATGCCGCCCCCTGAGCCACTTTGCACAGACGTCCGCTGATGTCAGCAGCTGCGGGATGAGGAGGAGAGCGTCTGGATGCTGAGGGGGACAACCTCCATCAGGTGGCACTTGGCAGGGGTGCAGATGGTCCCAGGGAGCCTCCCGAATGATGAGAGGGGCGTTACGGATGGGATCTAGGCATGGGATTAAAGTCTTGTGTCAGAGGTATGAGGAGTCATCTGCCATGCTCCGAGGGGGAGATTAGTGAGTTCAAACTCAGCATGAAATTCTGGAAGAAAATCTTATCACACGCCAAAACATTTTTTGCCACGTGTTCTAATCCTCCTGGAGGGGACTGAATAACAAACAGCACAGCCAGAGGGGGCCCTGCTAGGCTGTCTCAGTCCAGGTCCTGGGTCGCAAACATCCACAGACCCAGCTAATCATACCCTTTTCAGCCGTCAGTGCTGAACTGGCTAGAGGCCTGATCCAGTGCTTGCTGATGTCAGTGAAAAGCTGGTCCCCGTGGCTGCGGCGCTGGTCACATGCAGTGGTAGGCATCCTTTCACCTCACTCCCTGCTCTCCTCCCACCTTGTCTGAGCTCCCACAGGGAGCAGCAGGCAGAGGCAAAGCCAGACAGGCATGGAGGGGAACAATAAACCATTGGCAGCCTGGTTTTGAGTGCTCTCAAGAGCAAAGCAAGCATAGGGAACCCTCAGGACACAGCCAGTACTTCTGAACCTTGGCATTCATATTGCACCAGATAACACCATTGCCAGGGCTCAGCGTGCAGCTGGCGATGCCCATGGCTGGCTGAGCACTGCTCCAGCTCTGGGACTAGCTGTCCTCATGCTCCACCTCTCACCCTGCCCAAGGGGATTCCAAGAACCCACAAGTCCTAGATTAGGACAGGAGCATTGGACTAACCATATTAATTAATTAATTATTTTTTTCCCAGTTTGCACCCAAAATGCTTAAGGCGTGTACCTGGAAACGTGCAACCTTTCTGTTTTTACATGTGGCATGTGAATCCAGAGCCAATGTCACACATTTTCAGTCCCCAGAATTTGGGAGTTTCACACGGCAATAGGCAGAGGGGTTTTCAGTGGCTATTGGAAAAGGTTGTAGAATCATAGAATCACAGAATGGTTTGTGTTAGAAGGGACCTTAAAAAACATGTAGTTACAACCCCCTGCCATGGGCAGGGACACATTCCTGAATCCAGTGCTCTTGGACTTCAGTCCCAACTTTGGTGGCAAAGCCCAAATGTAATGCCCCCCCACCCCCATCTCCTCTCTTTCTCTCTTACAGTTCACATTACTTGCAGCTGAAATGAGTTGTGTCACTGGCTCATCTCTGCATGCAAAGCCATCATCATCCCTGTCAAGACTTGTCTTCTACAAACTGCTTTTTCTGTTACCAGTCAGAAGTGCCCAAGTGACGGGGCAATGCAATATGACAGCAGCCAGGAGCCTTTCACCACGTACCATATGCATACACAAATACAGACTCTCAAGCATCCCTTGCTGGACTGTGCTGCAGGACAGCAGCAGGCTATCGTCCAGCCAGAGGAGGAGATGAGTCATGGACACGCTAAGATCTTCATAAAGATTCACGGTCCTTGTGACAGACAGAGCAAAGGCAGCTGGCACTCTAAATGATTTAAAGATTTTAGAGAACATAAGAAACCAGTTGGGCTGGGGCAATTCACAGTGAAGTTGTGGGTACCCTCCTCACAGCTGGGAAAAGGGGACACATTCTGCCCTTACCCATAAGCTCACCCTTCAGCCCTATCCCAGTGCCACCCCAGGGGCAGATGTGACATGCTATTGCAGAAAGTCAATGTGGTCCAGAGGTAGCCCAGCCTTTTTTGTGTGGATCCTGAGGTTTGTGAGGGGTCTAAAGATGCCTTTCTCATCTCCAGTGCCCACCTGCACAAAGGAGACGATCAGACCACAGCTTTTGCACATCATACCTAAGAAGTGACTTTGCTTCTGCATGCAACGTAAAAACATTTTGAATCAAGAGGGGAGAGGTAATACAAAGAAAAATCTCTGTGAAAGAATCATCACGGGCAAGACAGAAAGAGAGCTTACCAAAAAGCCATGGAGCTCAAACAGGATCCTTTTGAGCTTGCCATGCACCCAGAGGAGATACTTAGCATTTACATCAGCACTGCCCTAATTATGCAAATTGCTCATCGGTTTGTGCACCAGGATACCAGCATTTTGTTTGCTCTGTTCCCAGCCCCCAGCCAGCGTTCTGTGCGCAGTGTGTCAGCGGGGATGGCAGGGAGGGAGGTTCTCAGGGGCAGGGCTTGAATTTCAGAGCTCCCCCTCCTGCTGAATGCATTCCTGCTTTAAAAGCAGGGCTTGTTTCTAAGGCAAAAGGGATAGGGCATGTCAGGAAGGTGGTTGTGGATAATAATGCATGTTGTAATAATCCCAGCTGTCTTCTATGTGCTGGGTACCAATGTGAGTGTCCCCCATGCAGCCATCCTGGTTGGGGTCACGGAGCACTAGGTATGCTCACCTCCTAGCATCGTGTCTGTTCTCCTTCAGGCTGCAGGCAGTGGAAGGTGGTCCAGAAAAACAGACTCCATGACTCGTCCTGTGCCACCGATGTCCTGGCAGTTGCCTCACTGCTTTGTGAGAGCCGTCTTTGACACAGCTACGTATTCTGGTAAATCTGTTGGGAAGGTAGTTTCAGAGGGCTGCTTAAGGAGATGAACTTTCCATATCCATGGGCAATACAATGTAAGGAAAAAAATCCTCATTTGTTTTAAAGATTCATTTGGGATGCTAGGAAATCCTACAGATAAAGTTCAGAGCCAAGAGAAAAAAGCACTTAACAGCTTCCTTCCTGCAAATATATCACAGAGAGCAGTAGCTGACCTAATGTTAGATATACACAGCACCTTAACTGAAAAGATTGGCTTTTCTGTAACATGCTTTCAGCTTTTTGCCCCAACCCTGCTCCTAGAGACATGCAGGGAAACTTTTAAACCTCTGAGACTCTTGGAGTCTGCCAAAACTGCTTGCAAAACCCCAGTTTATGCTACAATTCAGTGACAAATTATGCCAGTTTCAAAAATTTTTCTCTGAAGCCTAATCTCAGTAGTCTTCTTGGACTGGACCCTGCCTTCATAAATTCAACAGTAATGCTCCAGTTGCATCCAGAGCCCAGGGGCTAAGCCTCAGCAACTAATGTTCACTGATTTATTTATGTAGATACACACCACAAGAATACAGAACCCTGCACAGACACAAGGCAAATAATGTATAGTAATAAATGCAAATGCCCCACTTAAATTTACAGCATCAATATTCATACTCTGAAAATTAAGACCTTCTTTAGTCTATTAGCATATAGTTATTAGTGGCCAGTGAAAAGAGATGCAGCTGTATACAAACAAGCATTTCCCTTTGTAGGAAACCAGCAGCAACAGTGCCACAAAAAGTGCTGTTTCCTGAGAGAAAACTGAGCTTTGAAAAGCCTGGGGGGGCATATTTTGTGTGTGCATACAGAACTTCTGATCTTCAAATATGTAATTATCTGGGGAAAACACCTTATTATTATAACTTTTTGGTTTTGCGTGTCTGAACTTTTTATTTTTAGCTGAACCCTTTTTTTTTTTCATGGAAAATTTGGCTTGAAAGCCAATAGGGCTGTATCTCCTTTGAAATCCCAGCTCTCAGGCTTTCTAGAGTGTCCAAGAGCTGCGGTCTCATGTGTCTACAACCAGGTGAGCACTCGTACCCAGCAAGGTGAGATGCTGCCCTAGATTTTCTGGTGGAGATGTTTTAACTCATTGAGAAGCTCACTGCCTGATAAGCCTCCTGGCCAAATCAGACAGTGCCACTGCTCCCTAGGTGCTGTGCAACTCAAACACTTGGAAATGTGCCTTTATGGGGCTGAAGTATGGACAGCCCTCATAAAATGACCCACTGACAGACCAC